AAAAAAAAAAAAAAAAAAAAATAGAAAAAAAGAGAAGTAAAACAAATACAGGATTTATACGATCTCTCACAGGTGATAACTACAACATTTTTTGTCGTCAATCTAAATTTACCAAACAACCAAAAATAAAATCAAATTGTTAACAGTTGAATAAGATTTGTAAGATTTTGTCAAAATTAGGCCGCCAACAAAGAACAACAACAAAACTGTTCTGCATGTGACTATTCTCTATGTTTTGAAAATTCTGAGGACATTTTACATCATCCAAACATTAAGTAACATTTTTCAAACAATTTTTGCAACCTAAACCGGTTTAGTTAAAATTTTTAAAATAAAATTTAGTTGAAACATAAATTTTTGAAAGAATATAAACTTTTTTTTGCATTGTGATAGTTCAAGGTATATTTATCACCTATTAAACCAATGCATATCATATTATTTTGTTTGTTGTTGCAAACAATGAAGCTTTTTATTAGATTGATTCTTAAAAAAAAAAATAGTTGTTTTTGTAGTAAAAAAAGAAGCTTTTTTCTTCTAAAAAAAAAAATAAGCAAAAATAAAAGTTTATAAAGAAAGCAGTTAAAGTGAATTAAAATTTTAATTAAAAACAATATTTGACTTTTTAGAAAACTAAAGAGTGCCAAAGCAAGCAGCGGAAGTGAATGGGGTGAGATGGAGGGGGGAGGAGGGGGGAAGAGGGGGGAAGAGGGAATGTTATTTTAAAAAAAAATTAAATGTCACTTAATAAATGAAATAACCGTCAACATTTAGTGTATCTGCTAAAAACTGCTGTTTAGTTTTTGCTTATTTTACTAACATTAAATAAGAATTTTGAAAAGAAAAAAAAAAAAAAGGCAAAAACTAAACAAAGAACAACTTCAATTTTTTCACAGCCATTATCTTTCAGATTATTTTGCTGTCGTTGCTGCTGCTGCTGCTGCTACTGAATGTGTTCAATGAAATAAACTTTTTCTTTTGCTTTTACATACATTCTGAATATTATTGCCATTGACAGACGGATTATATTGACCACTAAATGTATTAGAGGATATATGTATGTTTTTTTTTTTTAATACTTAAACAAATTTTCTGTTTCTTTTTTTTTTTTTGCACCGTTTTAAAATCGGTTTTTAGTAGCATTTTGGATCGAAACAACTAATAACTTTTGCTGCTTTTTTTTTTTTTTTTTTATTAGGAAAGTTTGAGGTGAAGGAAAAATGATTTTTTCCTAAATCTTAAAAACAACAAGAAAATTTGTTTTTATATTCAAGTTTTCTTCTTCCATCTTTTTTTCCGCCTCTTTCTCTCATCATCTTTTTTTGCTGAATACGACAGATAAACAATCAT